TCATCAGTGCTCGCTGTGAGCTTTTGCCTTCAACTGTTTATTGTGCCAGGGAGGGGGAAGCAAGGTCATCGTCCAAGAAAACTTGTGCGAGAATAGTGAGTCTTTCAATTCCACTACTGGAGGGGGGGTCGTGGTGTAGGGTCTAGCGCACTTGCCTCCCACCGCTGAGGGCCAGACCCAATCCCCAGCGGTACCTTTGCAACTGGAGACGGACAATGCCAACTATCGGCACATTCTCTCGGGGTTCTCCCGTTTCCCCTGCCTCACATTGAACCATTTCTTTATCGTCACTCATCTCATTTTTATCGCTGTAATTTACTCATTACATCATTGCCCAAGAGCTTCAATGACCTCAGTAACGTTCCTAAAAAAATCAACACGTACTAGTTGGTCCTTTCTTGTCTTCTCAGCCACAGTTGTTACACGCCTGTAATATGTAGGCACTGCAGCGTGAATGAGAAATGTTGTTTAGATTCTTTATCAAAGGAAACATGGACTTTACTACCTGAGTTGGCAGACAGAACCTACAGTACTGTATAAATTGAAACTTCTAACACTCAGAGAGCTCCACTGTCCACACTCAGTGTCTTAATTATCACAAGCATAGACATGAAATCACGCTCTGATCGACATGCATTAATAATAAAAATAGGTAATTACACATTTTAAATAAAATTAAATATGTTACTACAGATTGCATAAAATTAAATTTTCTGTTGTACATACAGAGTGGATCATCAAAAATGTTCCACTCTAATCTCTCCTGCATCGGTGCAGATATTGAGGTACGGCCTTCACTGAAACGAATATGTGCAAGGGATACATACGATATACATGATCCTATAGCACTTTTAATTGCAGATACATCGGCACAACATTGATTTCTTAATATAGTTATGCGTATATGGTCCTCTTTTATTTATTTCAGAAGGTCAAATTTTTCGTAAGAAATGGAAAAAATTCATATAATATTTTCTTTATGTAGCTATATGTAGGTCTACTGCTTTCCTTGCTTCGCAATGTGGTTAATCCTCAATTTTTCGTCTTAAATCTGTCATGCGTTTCAAATAAATTAAAATATAATTATCAA